TATATATATATATATATATATGTAATTGGATTGGAAAAATGGTTGAGAGTATTTGATAGGTTATAACAACGATGTGGTACGATCGATTTCCATATTATTTGGCAGCATGCTGTACCATTCTACTATATGTATATGATGTCAATGGGTTGGAGAACTATAATATATATATAGATGTAATCGATGATATGTAAATGTATATATAACATAAGTTAACTCACTTGTTGTAGAGTACTATGTCAGGACGCCATATGTGATCCGAGGGTACGTGTAACATTTGAACCCCGCCATATTCCTTCGGCTCCCATCGTAGCTTATAGTCGTACCATGACTTGAAACAACCAATACAACAAATATAAACATATTATTGGTCCACTCATTTATTAAATACGCTTCTCTTATTTAAAATTTCATATTTATACGAGAAATATTTTTATCTTCAATTTAAAAACGTATGATTTTTCTAAAGATTGATGTTGAAATTATAAATAATAAAATCGTATTAAAGTTGTTGAAAAGTTATTAATAATTACCTAAAAATCTACACTTTAATATATTATAATAATAATTATAATAATAATAATAATAAGGGAGAATTTAATAACAATAATATTCTTTTCATGAATAATTTTTTACAATGTTATGATTTTTCTAAAGATTAACGTTTTAATTACAAATAATATAATCGTATTACAGTTGTTAAAAAAATAATTAATAATTACCAACAAATCTTCACTTTAAAATATAATAATAATTAAAATAATAATAAGAAGCTAATATTAATTAGAATAATAAATCGAATCAATTCATTTTTTTCTTTTTGTTCTTTTTTCTTTTCTTTGATCCAATCAAAACCACTCAACACGTCGTTTGTGTTAGTAGAAAAAAAAAAAAATTGGAATAAAGGTAAAACACGAAGGTAATGTGAAAAAAGAAGGAGGAGAAAGAGGTGGAGATGGTGTGGACGGGGGAAGAGGGTGAGAATAGACGAAGTATTGTCCAAAAATAAGTTGGAACGAAAGCGGGTCGGTTGTTTACGGGTCAGCCTTTCGAAAGGTTGGAACGAAAATCTTTTTTTCTTTTTTTTTTTGTCGACCAAAACATATGAGAATGAAGTTTGAATTTATGTGTTTTTGCCGAACACTTTTTTTTCCTTCCCTTTTTTCTTTTATTTTTATTTTAACTGGTTTTTTTTTGCTTCTTCTTCTTCTTCTTCTTTTTCTCCAGTCAGATGGACAGCCAAAAGAATGGAAAAGAATATTCGTTGGTTGGTTTTTCTTTTTCTTTTTTTTTTTTATTCTTTCCTATCGATAATATTTCTTTCACTTGTCATATTTTCTTGCTAACGAAAAAAAAAAAGAAAAAAGAAAAGAACCTCTTTCTTCTTTATCTTTTTTTTCCTTTTTCTTATTCATTTTTCTATCTTTCCATTCATGATCGATGGCTTATCCAATTTCTTTTCAATTCTACCATGTGTGATTTGTACACATGATATTTTTTTTTTTTTTTATTATTTAACAATAAAAAAAGATTGAAAAATAGTTTCATTCAATGAGCGGATTTTCTGAACAAATAAAACAAATATAAATTAAAAAAGCGCACAATTTTATTCTTCTCATTTTTTACTCTTTTCTTTTTTTTATTTTCTATTATTGTGTTTCTTCTTTTTTTTTTTTTTTAAATTTAATTTAATTTTTCGTAACAACAACGAAGCCTTGTGTAATTCAAAACGTTGAAGAATAAACAAGCATATTAATGCACTCCTGCGTACGGGATGTGGCATTAATTACCACTTTTCTTTAAATAATTAAATGCGAAAGCTTTTAGTAGTTGCATGCAAATGCTCTCACGAACGTCGGATTATTATCTCTCGTTTCTCAATTTCTTTCGTTAAACACATTCAATCTTTTCTTTTTGTTTTTTTTTTTTTTTTAATTTAACCTATATCGATTGTATCATTTTAAAACAATTTATGTTTAATTGTTAACAAATAATTGAGCCGCTTATTATGAAAGTGATCTAATTCCATTTATGTTCGAATTAGGATATTGAAGGGTTTGCAATTAAAAATATGCGTAGAAACGAGCTATACTGCTTAAGTGCATCTAAAGGATTTAAATTTATATTAATTCATCTTTTTATTGGGTATACAAGTAAGTTTCCAACGTTTTTTAATAGATGGTGTCACGAGTAGATTACAGGCAGAAATGTCACATCTCATGTGTCAAAGCTTGTGTATCTGTTAACATCATTGCATCATCATATTTGCGCATTTCTATTGGCGTCGTATATTTTATGAATCAAAAACATGGCGAGTTGTGTGCCAAATAAGCGTCATTTGTGGGAAACGCTGTTTCTATTCTTTAATATGAAGAAAAGTGCAGCTGAGGCCTATCGTTTGCTTCTGGAAACTTACGGGGCGGAATGTATTGGTGAATCGACGTGTCGTGAGTGGTTCAAACGGTTCAAAACTCGTGATTTTGACGTTGAAGACAAGGAGTGCTCCGGAAAGCCGAAAAATTTTGAAGACGAGAAATTGGAGGCTTTGCTGGATGAGGATCCGTGTCAAATTCAAGAAGAGCTTGCTGCATTATTGGGCGTCACATAACAAGCCATTTCCCTGTGCCTGAAAGCTTTGGGATTCATCCAAAAAGTTGGAAATTGGATGCTGTACGAGTTGAAGCTGAGAGATGTCGAACGGCGATTTTGCATGTCAGAAATGTTGTTGCAGCGGCATAAGAAAAAGTCGTTTCTGCATCTTATTGTCACTGGTGACGAAAAGTGGATCTATTATGATAATCCTAAACGCAAAAAAACATATGCAAAGCCTGGCGAGCTGGCCAAATCGATACCGAAGCGAAATATTCACACGAATAAGGTCATGCTCTGCATATGGTGGAATCAGAAGGGTGTCATATACTACGAACTGCTTCCGAGTGATCAAACCATCAAAAGACCATTGTATCGAACCCAACTAAGTCGTTTGAAGCGGGCATTAGCGAAAAAACGGCCAGAATATCAGACCAGGCACAAGTCCATAATTTTTCACTATGACAACGCTTGGCCACATGTTGCTGCTTTGGTAAAAAACTACTTGGATAATAGTGGATGGGAAATTCTGTCTTACCCGTCTTATAGTCAAGATTTGGCGCCATCCGACTACCACTTGTTTCGGTGGATGCAGAACGCTTTTACCAGAATGCGCTTCACTTCAGTAGAGAGAATCAAAAATTGGCTCAATATGTTCGTGGGCTCAAAAGACGAGAACTGGTCCGGAATTCACAAATTGCCATAAAGATGGGAAACAATTGTATCTACCGATGGACAATATTTCGAATGAAAAATATGTAACCATTTTTTCAGAATAAACCTTCACATTTTATAAAAAAACGCTAGAAACTTACTTGTAGACCCAATAACATAAACCAAAAAAAAATAACTGGTTAGAGAAAAGAATGTTTACAAGGATTGTTATAATAAATTCATATAATATCCACCTTTCATATTTTGTCTTTTTTCAATATTATCTTGATCCACAAGAACCATGATAACGATATCGATAATGCTCTTTATCGTACCAACTATGCGTTAAATTCAATAGTGAATCATAATATCGATCGATTACTCTCGCCTGAAAGATTCAAAAGCCTGTGTGTGAACAACACACCCTATAAAACGTAGCTTTCAATATGATACCAACGAAATGACTAACAGGGAGATAGATAGATACGTATTACAACGTGCCAGAGTGAGATAGAAAGAAAGACAGAGAGAATGTATGAGTGAGTAAGTGAGATGGAAAGAGAATATATAAGTGAATTTGTTAGAGAAAGTGAGAAAAGGTAAAAGTGAATGAAATAAAATCAGTCAGTAAAAGAAAGAGAGAAAGAGAGTGAGAAAGTGAGAGAGAGTAAAAGAGATAAAATATGTGAGAGAAAATGAGAAACAAAATGTTTGAGAAAGTGAGAGAAGGTGTTACAGCAAATGAAATAAAATGAGAGAGAAATAGTATGATTGTGTGTGCAAGTGAGTGAGTAAATGAGTAAGTAAGTGAGTGAGATAGAAAGAGAAATAAAATGAGAGAGAGAGAGAGAGAGATAGTATGAGTATGTTTGTATGTGAGTGGATAAGTGAGTGAGAAAGAGAATATATAAACGAATGCGTAAGAGAAAGTGAGAAAAGGTAAGAGTGAATGATATAAAGTGAGTTTGTGAGTGAAAGAGAGAGAGAGAGGGAAAGAGAGTGAGTGTATGAGTATATGTGAGGTTGTAAAAGAGAAAGATGATGGGAACATATATAGACGAACGTGTTTACAGATAGAAGAGACGGTTTCTGACATTCCCAGTGGTGTTATCAATTTATTTCCGACGTATTCAGTATCCCCGTATGACCTTATGAAAGGAACCACATACCATCATACCCGTTCTTGGGTTCTTGGATATGGCTAGAAGCAGGTTTTCAGTATAGCAATAGCGAAAACCCTTCTTGGCACAGCCACCATACTCTTCTTCTCTTTCTCCTAGGTTGTCAACGACAGAAGATACCTTGTGGTGTACATGTATTACTTAGTTACATATATATACTAGTATATATGTACGTCTATATTTTCTTGAGATAACAAAGACATGGATAGATAGTTCTCACTGGAGAATGCTTGGAAAATACTTTCGAAAGTCGTACCTTTTTAGCTCGATTTATTGCCAAGAGGAAAGAGAAGCAAGCAAAGAGTGAATTCAAATAAGATACATACGTTATGCATGTATATACATATGTATATATATATATATATATATATATATATATATATATATATATATATATATATGGTATGTATGTATATTTGTATTTATTTATAGTAGCAAGCAGTATATGTATCATTTTTCACTTGGATCTCTAATCTTCTAAATTCTCAACGTTTATTTATATAATAGGATGCTCTTTAGCTACGAATTGCTGTAATTTTATCATAAAATGTTAATTTAATATTATAATAAATTATTTAATAAATTACAACAACACATAAAATAATACCTACAATTATAATGTAATACATAAAATAATAATATTATGAAAAAGTATAAAAAGTGAGGTTAATTATGTCATATGTAAATCTGAAAAAAAATGTGAAATAATTGAATTGTGATACAGTGCCATCTATTGAAAAATTACAGTATTTAAAGACTTAGATAACTTATAAATAAAGTATGATGTGAATATATGAAAATAATTGAATTATAACGCGGCATAATCTATTGAAAATTGAAAATATCTCAAGACCTACATAACCTGTAAATAATAAATAATTAAATTAGCAATAAAATATAAAAATAA